AAACACGGTTTTCAAGCATTTTATTAATATTGAAAATTTATAACAAAAAAATAGGTTAAAAGAGTTTCTTTACTTTAGAAAATCAATACATTTCTGAAGCTAAAGGGCCTTTGAATTGTGGTTTAAAGAAAAATATAAAAATGTATTTTATTTATTAATGAAGGTATAGATGTCATATCATTAATTAATTGACAAAAATAGTCACTAATATAAAATTTTATTTATATTCATTGAGTATATCTCTATATTAATAAGTTTTTAAAGCATTTTATAAGAGAATTAATTTTGAGAAATAATTTTACACATGTGTGGGCACAGGTTATCGTTTTATTTCATATAACAGGGATTAAACAAAAGTCTAAAACAATGTGTTTTCAGATAATCTTTTTATTTGAGTATAATATTTAAAACATAAAAAAAATCTTTCATTTCTAAGACTAATCTGCTTTATGTTAGTATTACAAAGAGATTGTGTTAAATACATCTGAAATGTAGGACAATAAGCAAGAATTGAGTGAATATTCTTGAATAAAGAAATGCAAGAATAGTGAAAGAATGTTAACAAATATTTAAAATATTATGTAATATGTAAATTATATGCAATGTATACAAACATTTCTTTTTGAGAATATTATGCATTATATATACTATACTTCGGGTACATTATAAAGTATATATTCTAATGCCCTAAAGAAGTGTATGTCTGACTGTAACGCTTGACTTAAATAAATAAATTGATTATTTTTCACTCTAACGAATCTCTTAAAAATTGTTTCCAATAACAAGAATAAATTTGTTTGTTATTGAATGCCTTTACAGTGTATAATATAAATGCATTGAAATTTAAACTAGGGCTACAAAAAACGACAATTTTATTCCCGATTTGTGTTTTGTAGATACCATCCCAATGTCTGACTAATAATTTTAAATTATACATTTTAATACTTTGTATTTATCTTTAAGTTATAATTAATTTTAAAAATATTATTCAATTTTATTTATGTATATAATATATTATTTAATTCATTTCGCTAAATATTTAAATATTCAATATTAAATTCACTATAGAATTATAATAATATATTAGTAAATAATATGAATTATAAATTTTTAAAAATTTATTCAATTTATTATTGAAATTTAAAATATTTGCTCAAATTTTACCCAAAATATTTAGTCATATTATTCCCATTCCTTCCCTTTTCAAAATCCAAACATTTTTTGAGGTTTGAATTTTGAAACCAGAGATTTGGTGAAAATATATTACAAATTAGATTAGTATTGATATACTAGTAATATTGAATCACAATTTCAAGTACTGGTCACAACTGATGCCTATGTTTTATATCGAAAAAATATTTCCTTATAACTATTACTCAGCAAATAAAAAAATCAATAATTTTCAAAAATGTACCTTAACACACTCATAAATATAGTACTAAAAGTATAATAAAAATTCATTTGTTATACAGAATTTAAAAACAGAAATAACATTTAAAAATTTAATTATAGATTTAAGTTAATATTGCATATAATTTAGTAATTTGATGATTAATAAAATAATCGTGGTCTAATTACGCACTCCTATAGGACTATACGATAACCTTATATCTGAATCAGTATTGGAGGGACGAGAGGCTGTCCTTTAGTGAGAACAACTACGAGCTGACCCTATCGGGCGATTTCGCAGAGCGCATATGGGTTCCGGACACGTTGTGAGTGACATGCCATCCATGTCTTCAATAACTTGTATTTACTTAACACACAATAATTTGTTTAAACATTTTACTCAGAATTCATTCAATATACTGTACATGTTTGTTTTGAAGTTTGTTTTTATTGTATAGAATGGGATTAAATTCAATGGAATTTGCTTTTATTAACGGTTTAGGAAATTACAAAAACTTTTTCTATTTTTTATGCCTTCAATTTAGCTGTAAATGACTTCATTAGGGAATTGAAATATTCCGAGAATTCATTCAATTACCTGAATTCATTGTAAATTCTATAAAAACATAGGTTTATTTAAAGTAATATATTGTAAGGCTTCGAATATTCTATAGGCATTACAATATTATACATAACTAAAGACATACATAGTTGCTATTTTAATTAAATTGATAATAAGAAAATAAATAAATAATTAAAAAATTTAGTCAGCGTTTGGAATATTAACAATTATACAAATTATTGTGTTAACAAAAATAAAGTTTAACTAAACATTAATAAAAAAATTTCAAAAACAATCTCAAGCTTTGCAAACGACAAGAACTCATTCCTACACGAAGTGACTGAGAAGAACAAAATGGTTCGGCTTAAGTCTGACGGGTATATCGCTTATGGCATGAGGTACAGTTCCCCTCTGTGCACCAAAAAGCATTTGCATATTGATATGCACTCAAATCGATTACTTTAAGTAATTTTGTTTTGAATTCATGAATAAAAAAGGTTCACAACAACGTTGGCCTGTATGATGGATCTCCATTATTACCCATTAGACTCACAGAACTGTACGGTTGAGATCGAGAGCTGTGAGTTTGGACTCATTTTTATTATAATTATTTTATTCATTCTTCTGTTTTATAGCGGAATATAAATATCATTCAAATTTAATTATCTTTTTCTTATAAGACTTTGCAAATGAATTCTTTATTTAGAAATACAGTTAACAGCTATACTGTAGTCATTAGAGTGTAATAGAAAACCATTAATTATATGATAAATAATGCAAACAATGAGTATAAAAGTGAGAACTAATGAAAAGTATTTACGACAACACAATACTTGCTTTGATTCACAAATAGTAAAATATTTATCACAATTACAACAGAATAAATAGTTATATTAATAAATGAATTGTATTACTCTATTATTGATTACTGCATAACTATTAATATATAATATATTTGAAAAGACATGAATAAATGAATTAAACTGTCGTTCAGATGGATATACGGTATCAGATGTGGTGATGTATTGGATGAAAGAGCCGGTGACAGGTGTTGAGAACGCCAAACTGCCCCAGTTCACCATTTTTGGTTATGAAACCACTGATCGCAAGGAAAAATTAGCCACAGGTTTGTCTCACATCAATTTATAATGCACTTTTTGTATTATTTTATTAAGTCTACAGTAAATTATATTACATACCTTATTGTAATTGATGAAAAATATGATCTTATTATAATTTTACTGAATATCTATATACTGTATGATTGTATTGAATATTAATAGTAAATATGATTTACGTTTTCAGGCACTTATCAAAGACTATCACTACTATTCTCTCTAAAGAGAAATATCGGATATTTTATTTTTCAAACATATTTGCCATCAATTCTGATTGTAATGCTTTCATGGGTTTCCTTTTGGATCAATCACGAGGTTTGACAACAGATGCTATAAATAATTGCTTTTAAAACTTTTTCATTCAATATTTGAATTTCATTTTGGAAATAATAATCGGGAACTGGCAAATTGACCTAAAAACCAATTGACCTAAACTTAAATAACTTACCAATAGAATTTTGACCATTGTAAGGATAGGTAAGGTTAGGTTAGGTCAAGGGGAACATTTTACACTGGTCATCTGGTATATTTACCTACTGGTGATTAAGTTATTTAAGTTTAGGTCAATTGGGTTTTAGGTGAATAGACCCGGAGCCTAATAATGATTGATTTATTGTGAAAATCTAAGGCAACATCAGCGAGGGTTGCATTAGGAATAACGACTGTCCTAACCATGACAACCATCAGTACTGGTGTCAGGTCTTCATTGCCGCGAATATCTTACGTCAAAGCTATTGACATCTATTTAGTGATGTGTTTTGTGTTTGTTTTTGCGGCACTTCTCGAGTACGCGGCCGTCAACTACACCTATTGGGGCGCCAGAGCTATTCTTCATTGCCGCGAATATCTTACGTCAAAGCTATTGACATCTATTTAGTGATGTGTTTTGTGTTTGTTTTTGCGGCACTTCTCGAGTACGCGGCCGTCAACTACACCTATTGGGGCGCCAGAGCTAAGAAGAAACCCAAACCGACCGACAAAATCGACTCATCCGGAAGGGCTATATCTCCCGGAGCTGGCAAACATGGAGACAATGTATACAATGTATGTGTCACTAAAGCCATTGAATACTATTTGATATTAAATCAAATCAATTCATTCATTGATATACAGAACGAAGAGATCATAGAATTACATGACATCCGGATGTCTCCCATTCCTTGTCTACGGAACCGACATAACAAGACGTGTAGTACAAGCGATAGTGACCTACGATTCCCTCCATCATTGCGAATGTCAAACCCCGTGCATCGGATGTCATACTCGCCCGGAAGGGCCGGTATCTACGGACCGAACCGTTCGCGTTACGGCCGAAGTGATCCTTACAATAGGGCTAAACCGCGAATGTTTCAGTCGATCAGACGCGGCGCCAATGCTTTCAAAGTGTCGATCCCTA